CCCACCAAAACCCCCCCCAACACACCTGTAGCTCACAGAAGGACAAAGTCATATATCAAGCACACTAGATACTGCATTATTGGAGGTTATTACATATCAGGCACAGGCGCCTGGAGGCGTTACCAGCAACTACAGCTCTATAATCAATGCGTAAACTATGTTACATCCATGTACATTAGATGTTGTACTATAATAGACCATAATATGTCGTGGATGTTTAAGAGTATTTAACTGTACTAAACTCTGGGCTGGCTTAAAAATAGCTTGACCCACAGCCATGACCCACAGCCAGACAGAGAGAGAGAGAGAGGGAGATCGCACGCGCGTAAACGGTGGGCTTTTGCTTTGGCGGTTTAAGCGGATTTCGAGCCCAGGAAAGCGAGCTCAAGCATTTGGGGTGATCAACGGGCAAAGTTCGTTCGCATAGGCTGACGTTGGACTCGGCCCGAGTCACTCGGCTGTTGCTGTGATCGACACGGAATAAGTGTGATATAGTGTGACTCTATTCAGAGTGTTGATTTTTTTTCTGGACAAGCAGTATGCATGGGTGCCGCCCCCGGCGCCCGGATGTCACAAGTAGCAGGGGGCCTATGACATTGATGAAATCATACTAGCTAAGTTCGAGGTGAATGCCAGAAACCTCAGAATTTGCTAGCTGCTTTGAGTGTCGCACGGCAGCCTTCAGTCGCGCTTTGACGCATAAAGACTTTCAACTTTTGTCACGTGACTCACATTCACCGAGCTCGTGGTCCATGTGCCTGCTACGTAGAGCACTGGATCTCGGGTGCACCTGTGTGGCCCAGTTGTGAGACTTCATTTGGGAGAGACAACGTTCGGGTCGAACTCCAACGCAACATTGACCATTCCGTGGTGATCTGCCACTGCAAGATCGGCTTTGGCCCCGAGTCAATAGGCCGAGCATGTGGTGGAAACGAGGGTTTCTTGAGAGGTCAATTTGACCTGCTATAGAACTGCGACTACTTCTGATATCATCTTTTGTTTGATCTTTTGGACTCTTTTGGATGAATTTGATCCTGACAGGTATGAGGTATGCACTTGTCAATGTGAAAACCCTGGGTGTGGTCAGTGGCGTGGAGCTTGTTCATACGTGTAAAAAGCTATGTAAAAAGCTGCAAGAAGCTGTGTAAAGGCTTTCGTCTCATGGTACGAACCAAGCCAATTCACGACATCTTTCGTGCTGGCATAGATATTTTTAAAGGAGTGAAGCGTCGGGCACCTACTCTGAGGGGAGAGTGTACATGCAGCTGGTTTGCTCAATACCCATGCAGAGCAGACCAGCTGCGAGCTTGGAAATCATTTGTCAAAAAGATGTAGATGAGCTCCTTTCGTAAATCCTGTACCTGCACGTCACAAAAGGACCGTCGTGCGCACATTCTGGGGGTCTTGTAGCCCTTGGATCAGTTGTGTCTCAAAGCCGGCGGCAGCATGTGCATGTTGGAGGGGCATATGATATGCGTCAAATGGTACCTGCCAGTCTAGAAGTATCAATCCCCGCAAACACAGACCCATGAGTGGTTGGAGGCCATCGCCAGTAGGTTGGAGGGCATCAGGAAGATGCAGAAGAGCTTGGTGAATTTTTCCTGACAGCACTGGCTCAGATCGACTCACAGTTTTCCATCATCACTAGAGACCATGCGCCTTGGCGTGACCATAACAGCATGCTGGGAAAAGTGGGCGGTTCCCTGCTTTTCCAAAGGCATCGCTACTAGTAACAAGGGCAGCTTCTACTAGCAGGAAGCTACGCTACTAGTAGCCAGATGCGCATGTTATGTTCGTAGCTTGATTCTCCAAAAGGTCTGGCGGTCGATCTTCAGAACCTCTGCGAGTTCGGTTTTCCAAGGGCGAAAGCAGCGAACGTCGGTCCAGCGGTCCGCCGGACTTCTCCGTGGTTCGCAGCGGTTTTTGGGTCGTCCGTGTGAAGGAACGGCGGTGTCACCGACTGGACGGTGTCGTTCGGCCCTGCCAGGTCTAAGTACACGACTGGGGTATTGAGACAAAGGCCGACATGTGCAGACCATCTTTGGGCCATCTTCCCTGTGGATATTTCAGGAATTGTCCGGATATTTCTACCAACAGCTTGTTTCGATGGGGTGTTTTAGAAAAAACTGTCCCGTGAGATGTTCCACCATCATTGATAGGAGCGCATTCAACCATGCGGTGTTCTAAGAACAAGTCAACCATCAATCAAGTCAAAGACGGCCTTCTTTCTCATCCTCCCTGGAATCATCATGCAAGATACACTTCCTGGAATGGTTACATGGAGTTCATCGCCACCTGTTTGCACTTCGTGTGTTTTGGTTTAAAGAACCTCGTGTCATGGCTCTGTGACCCGCTTCTCTTTCTGCTTTTGTCTGAACGGAGCGAGGTCCCGTCGCTATACTTCACCCCATCCGGACCGATGAGCCCATGGAATCTTCCGGTGAGGTGAGAGGGAGTCCAAACCAGAAAGCAACATCAGAAAGGAGTCCAAACATGTCAATACGATGGTGAACATGTCATGAAACACCAGAGTCACCAGAGGTTTAGGTGAAATTCCAGAGGTGAAGGATGTGTTCTTTTTTTCACGAAAGCCGAAAGCCACGAGATCTTCACCAAGGACTTGGCGGATGCGATGTGTTTCCATCCTCCAGGCTCTGCAGCTTTCAGAAGTGCGATGGGCTGTGCTGCGCATTCATGGTTGTCCATATTTGGGTGTACAAAAGATCTGGGGTGGATGACAGCTTTAATGAAAGTGGTAGATATAGATGGCAAAGATACGCAAAGATGCATTAAATCAGTAATGTTTTTGGTCGCGGAAAGCAAATGGATCAAGAAGTATAGGTTCCGAACCATGGTTTGCAAAGTTTCATTTCCCATCTCAACACCATCACAGGGCAAATACCAGATGAAGAGGATGTTTCAAGTTGTTGTTGTTTTTTTTTTCTGATGAAGGTCCCTGACGGAGGGCTCAAACTCAATCTGGCAGATCTCCGAACGGCCAGGTCACTTTGCTTTTGGCCGAAGAGCAGCTGGATGTAGAGCAGCTCATGGAGGTGGATGAGGACTGCGGTGAAGGGGAGTGCGCCCTTCATGCCTTGCAGGCCGGATGTAGCCAACGCAGGATAAACGGAGGCCATGCGGAGGATGCAGAGGAAGGGAAGGGGAGGAAAGGGGAAGGTGAGAGAAGAGGCCAAGCTTCTTTGAGAAGTGCCAAGAAGCTGACAAGTCCATGTGCCTTAGGTAAGTTCCTCAAATGAAACACATTAAGGTGAAATGATTTCAGGTCCTTGGCGCAAAAAGCGAGACTTTCAGGAGTTGATGCTTCCATATGCTCACCACCATCTGGGTGTGTAAAAAGAACTGTTCGAATCAAAAGACCCAACAAAGATCCGGTCAAAGAACAGCTCCATCATCCCGTGTGTCAATCAGCTCCATCATCCCTGTTCTTCGACTCCATGTCCCCTACCATCTTCTACCTCTCGGGTCTTCGATCCTTTTTCGGCGAACCGTCTTGCCCAGTGGCGAAGTGGCGAGTTCCGCTGGTCTCCTGGAGCCTCCCAGGTGCGAGGGAAACGTTTGGCTTCGGAGTCTGCTCAGTCGAGGCATTCGTTGTCCGCCCGGCAGGCGCGGACCCCAAGGATGGGTGGGTGAATGGGGAGATGGGGGATGGGCTGCCTTGGCTAAAGACCCCAGATTCTCAAGCAGCTTCTGATTCGGGGTCGGAAAGCAGTGGCGATGCTCTTTTAGTCTTTTGGATATGTTTTTCATCGGAAAAAGAAACACTCTCATGAGTCATGTATGGCATCGATTGATTTTGGCCCATTGATAGCTTAGTCTAACAATCTCCAAGTGGGTAAATTCATTACCCACAAAAATCACAAAGACAACCCCAGTTTCAGTCTAGGAAAGTCGTTACTTGCTCGCTTCCTCCGCCCCGATGTCAAGGTATCTTCAATCTTCAAGATGTTCAATGATTGTTAAGCATAGAAATAGAATGAAGATTGAAGAGATACTCTAGAGGGTGGGCATAGAAGCTAGAATGCACAACCTCTATATCCCACCCTGCCAGCGCTTGCAGTTTCTTGCTTTTCGTTCATCGCACCAGGGAGCAGCGGGAGGCGACCCAATTCTTTCTCAATGAATTGATCCCTTCCTGAGCACCATGTGACCTTCGGAAGCCTTTCGCGGGATGACCCACACAAAGTTTTATTTTTGAGGTTGAACATGGTTGAACTAAACATGACAAAAGAGCGCAAGAATTGACGTGGTATCAGTTTTGGGGGCATACAAAGCTCTCTGCCAAGTGATGAAGACTCTCAGAGAGAGACCTCCCTACCGTCATGGAGTGCTCCCAGCGGGACTCCTCGCTGGGACATGCCCTGCGGGGCGTGAGCGCGGAACATCTGCGAGGGAACTTGGTCGAGTGGATCAGCTCACATGGGCAGGAGTCTCGGCCCGGATAGAGCTCATGTGCCGTGGGTCGGAGAGTTCTGAATTTGCTGGGGGAGACCAAACGAGTCGCCGGCGAGGGGCCGCTGTGGGCGAGAACTCCCTTCAGAATCCTTCAGCCACAACGGCAGAAGAACATGAAACAAGCCACGAGGAAAGGCATGAAGAAGGCATGAACAAGTATATAATGAGGGCCACGCCATGAGAGAAGTTATGTGCCCTATGTCTTCTTGGAGAAGCAGGGCAAGAGCTTCTTGGAGTTCTTTTTCTCCGCTTCTTTGAGTCCCTTTTGTGTGCGCCGGTTGATCGATATTGATCGATGCTTCTTTTGCCTAAAGTCGAAGTGTCTCAAAATTCAAGAGAAGGAGCACCCTACAGGTGAATTCATCGTAACCTATCTACTTGTCACACTGTTGTGGGATGAAGCCGGTTCACTGAACCAGAGATGTAAGTTGATATGGTTGTGTATCATAGTTGAATAGGGAGACCCCTAGACGATCTCTGGGAAAATCTAAAAAGAAGCAGACAAAATCCATTGGTTGGGAGGTCTTTTTATTGAAATACAAAACCCCGCTGTCGTTGCCGACCTCCGAGTTGTTGCCTAGGACACTACAGCCTGCATTCATGAGATCGAGCCTTTGATCCGTGAGCGCGGCAAGGATGTGATGTGCCCTCACACACATCAGCTGGGCTCATCATATGTGGACGCGTTGGGTGAATCGGAAGATGCTGGAATCTCCAACTTCATGCTCAGTTTCCTTGGCTTAGATCCACTTGGGGGATGGTCAGCATATGTCAACATCACAGTTGTTGGATGGGGCTTCAACCTGAAAAACAATTCAGTGTGTTTTTGTGTTTTTTCCTCCGCGTTTTTCAAAAGAATCATGTCCGCGAACTACGTTTGGAACTTTGGCTTCCGAAGTTCCATTTCTGCCCTTTTTCCTTCGGAGTCATCTCTGATCACCCGATGCGGGCTTGGTCCACCTTACCACCGTGAGTCCCACAAGCTACCGCGTGGTAGCTTGCTCACACCGACGCCGTTGGGTTCAACATGGTTTGAAATGTTGGTTAAACAGGTTGAGAAGTGGCATCACCTTGGCTTAGCCCTCTCAAAGGCATATTTTGTTGTACTGACATGTGCATCTTGACCATGACTACATCATGTGCTGGTGCTTGGATCTGGTTGATGGGTTGTGATATGAGCAGTGACACTGGATGAACCGGCACACCAAACTTTGAAAGCCTCATGTTGTTCGGAACGGCCAGGTTTGGAACCTTTCAAAAGCCAGCAAAACACCTGAGACGTGTGATGCCCCTGAGACGTCGCTCATTTTGTCCATGCCAATCTTTGGGCGTGTTTCGGTTGCTTTTGTTCCCTATGGGTTGTCTGTTTTCATTCCGGTCTCCATTTGTGTGGATGAAGTGTAGGAAGGATCGTGCACCGTCCTTGGCTCAACGATGATTGCTGCACAGACTTGTGTGAGGCTACTCTTGGAGATATCGGGTGGATGACATCATCACATCCTTGGTGCACCATTGTGAGACCCGAGAACGAGATATGAAACGCAGCTTGACCGCACAGTCGTTTGCTGCTAAAGAGCATCAAACTCCTGTGCAAACCAGGAGTTTTGAAGATAGGCATGAAGCTGAAAACCCTTTTGGGATCCCTTGGGGGTATCATTGCAGTTTGCAGGAAGTCCGTCCGCTTGTCATCCCTGAGGGACGTATTTCTGGATTTGCTGCCTTTGCATCAACCAACACCGTGTCAAAGAGGCGGATGGACAGGACAGTGGACAGTTGTGGCGGATGGATCCAAGACCGCTCAGAGGAACGCGCGAAGGGAGCATGCACAAATGTACCAGCATGGATGATCGAATATCAGCGCCTTTTCGTGGATGCCCTCGACGAGAAGTTGACATGCCACCGTCAAGCTGTATATACTTACTAGGCACTATAGAAGGCACCGAACGATTCGGAAGATTCTAACTTCGTTGCCCAAAGTCTTCGCACAGTCTTCGCCCAGTCTTTGAGTCCCTCTTCGCCCAGTCTTCCAGTCTTTTCGGTTCACCGCACTGGTCACCGGTCATCCTCGTTCCCCCGCGCCTCCGCAGTGAGTTCGTTGCCTCCGGCCTGGAGGCACAGGCCGCGGGCTTGGTGGTGCCCTTCGAGGACTTCCGGGAGCACTTCCAGCAGCGGGTGGTGGGCGTGGGCCACGTCCTGGCACTTATGGCGCCGTGGGACAACCCGGCGCCTGGGTTTGCTGCGGTTTGCTTGGTTGGTTTGGTGGGAGAACACAGGAGTTGTCGGAGGTGGTTGGTTTGGGGTGCTTTTTGTTTGGAGATGGGAGATGGATGAGGTTCTTGGAGGGTTACAAAGAAGGTCGAATAAGAGGCTAGCCTTATAAGCATTTGCAACTGCATCCGCAGCAAGTCCTACTCACACCAGTCAGCTTGATACTATATAGGTGAGCAGTTATTTTTATTTAGAGGATCACAGTATTTGGTTGAAGAGGGCAAAACTTGGACTGAATGGAACACTATGGCAACACTAGGATAACACTTGATTCCCCACCAGAAGTTCAAAGTTCAAACTCCTTTATTCGATCAACATAGAACCCTGGCTTAAAGACTATTCTCATTCGGTCTTGGAGCATCTTGGACTTCCAGACATCTCAGTATTTTGCGCTGTTTACATCACATCAAGGTCTATGTCAGCCGCGTGTGGTGTGTCTTTGAAATCTTCACCGCCGTCAACGACTCTAGTCGATGCCAAGCAGGCTTTCTGGCCACTGTGAAGGGGGTGTCTTTGGTTTCTTTTGCGAGGTGCATCAAAGACGTTAGATATACGTAGATATACCTCAACAACTTGGGTGTCCTCAATGTTTTACCTATGTTTTCCCTGTTGTTTGTTTCGGTCCTGGAATCAACCTGTTTTCACAGAGGGCGCCTATGATATGATGAGTGCTCCATGACATGGAAACTCACGCCTGGTGTGGCAGGAATTTCGCGGCGAAGAGTGGCACGTAGCGATGAGCAAAGAAGGGGTTTCCCCTGGGCGGAACGCCGCCATCCAAGGAGAACTGCGAGCTGACGGTGATTCTGCCTCCAGTAGAGATGAAACGCTTTAGTGGCACCATCCACGACGGTGTTCTGGAATCTTCACTGCAAGAAATCACACGTTTACTATCTTTTACTCATTTTTTTCTGGGGTGGATTGAACAAGGCTCTCCAGAATCGCAATGGCCAACAAAGTGTTTGAGTTCATGCAATCTAAGGATAAGCACTTATGGGCTTCCCTGGAACAACTGGACGTTCAACGGGCTGATGCCTCCGTGGCATCCGACAAAGAAAATATCCTTCGAATTGTTGCAGATGGAGTTGGATTTGATTGCTTGAACCAGGCTGGACCAGCACCTTTTGGGTCCCAATAGCTTTGAAGATACTTATATAAACGGTTTAGGTGGGCTGCCAGGGTCTCAACTAATATATACTTGACTGATAACGTATATCTGAGGAAATGGTTAAGCCAGGCTGAGCCAAACCCATCATAATCTGTTGCTTCAAACATACCATCCAGTTGCTTGTGTTCTTGACATCCGCCCCCCGTGCTCCCAATGCTTTCGATTACCCATAGTTTTGCAGGTGTGCGTTGGTTTTCTTTCTTCTACTTTTGACCCTGTAACCCCGAACCTGTTTCCATCCACAACCTCACCCAGCCCGACCAGCAGCTCTACCATCAAGGCCCTTGCACCTGCCTTCCACCTGCGGTTACGCAGGTGGTCCGACAGCAGCTGCTGCGCTGGTTGGCCACTTCCGCCACGTGGGAAGCTCAGCAGCAGATGGAAACCGGCGACTTGTTTGGACAGAAGGCCATTGCCACTTCCAGCCAGTGACTTGGGCATCAAAAAGACGACCGGGATCATGTGTTTTCATGCGTTTTCGGAATATGGCTGTGAGGAGTGTATGAAGCGCCAAGCTGGGGCAGGTGATTTGGCATTTCTCAAAACACATGGTGATGAGTAATGGGGGATCAAGATCTTGCAGTTGTGCATGATTGTATTCTAGCAAGAATGGGGTACCACCATACCACCCAATCACCCCTGAACCGAACCTTGTAGTTGCCAGGCTTTTCTTTTGGACGCTACCCTTCAAGGCGGCCACAGCTCAGGTTTTTCA